ATTGAAGGGTCTATAACTTTAATGATGGATAAGGTCTGATAAGGGCATTATTAGGTTGGTTAAATCATGGAGGTATAAAAAAGAAGGAGATATAACCAACTTAATTGGATTTGCTAAGCTAAGACCTAATGACCTTTCTCCAACGCTGATTGGCTTACCACTAAAAGGTTCAAAAAGCCCGCTATCTCGTTACCGCAGCGGGACGTCCGCTTTCATCCATATCATCGCAGCCGCTTGTTTCGTAAATTTCTAGTCTTATTGCAAGGCCGCTTAGCAACGCAGTCGCCCTGAACATGTATTTTTAACTATTTTTAGTGTATTACAGCCTCTAGAGGGCTTCTAGAGTTCAAAGGTTTGTTTCAATCGGAAGATATTTTATTTTGGAAGCGATCGTGAAAACTTCGAAGAAAATCGAGCCATTTTTAGTCAATTAACCCAAAGTTCAGGTATTAATGGATGTTATGATATATCTCAGCTTCCTGAAAAGCTCGGAAGATGATTCTTTTTTTAAATTATTGTTTAATAATCCACCTTTCAACATGTAATTATCACGATGTTGTACACACGTGTACATTTTATATACAAGCATAGCAACCTCGGCGGGTTTTGGCCGTGCGACCGACCCGACTTGATTACAGTGTAGAGTGTTACGTAACGAAGTCTAGGCCTGGAGTAATTTAATCATGACTGATGGGCCTAGGCAGAATATGTTAGGCCTAACCATGCCCTAAATAAATAAAAAGATTCATATTCTAAACTGTCTACATATTCTTTTATTACTATACATGCATATAATATTTAATATTATTTATAGTATAGTAGTATAGTATAGTAGCAAATGGGTATGATGTTGCTACAGAAGGGCCTGGCTAGGCTCTTTCCATGATGTTGGTATGTTAATAAAATGTTTTTTTTGTTTTTGTTTTTTTTTCAAAATTTTAGGCAGACCTAAAAATCAGGATCCACTGGAAGAGTACTTCAGTAAGCAACGTGCATGCGGAGGAAGGAATGAAAACCCTATGGTGTAGCAGTTCCAGCAAAATGCTTTAACTATACAAGTCGCGGGTGCAAAAACTGTCACAGGGTCAATTGCCGGAAACAGCAGGAAGTCAAATTTCGAAGTTGATTGCTCTCCACTTCCAAAAAGAAAAAAAAAATGCTGTCTTTGTAGTATAATAAACATGTGATTTGTTGCCAGAAAACCATTTAAAGTCTTGACATTAAAGATGAAATGCATTTGTTAATAATTGATTGATAAGGTGCAAATAAACTTGTATATTATGTACTATGTTGCCAGAAATCCAATCAGAAAGTTTTGACATTAAAGATGAAATGCATTTGTTAATAATT